ATTTGCTTGAAGGTCAGAAAACCAATAGAATTACTGGGGAGGGGATCTAATCACCTGGCTTCTAGGTATGTAGATAGCACTTCCCCAGAAAATGTCTCTGTTTTTCTTCTACAAGGTTTCTAATAAGCTTTATATTTCCATAGATTACATCCCATGCAAATAGTATTTAATTTTTCTGCTGTAACTACTGAAAAGCCACATGATTTATCTTTTAGTCCAAGGCAGCAAGGAACTGTATAGGTATTCAGATTACATTAGTCATTTTGTCTAAGGGTCATCTCTGCATACCTTTCAACATCATTTCTAAGAATTTGGTGATATCTTGTAAGGGAGGGTAAGGCCTTAGGATCCATTTCTGTGCCAAGGCAATTAAGCAATTTGTACAGAAATCCCTAGCAGAGCACAGGGCTCAGGGTCTTGTGAAGTCCAAGAAAGGGAGGTGGACATGCCATTGGCTCCTTTTACTGCCAAAACTAAGTAAAAATAACTTGGAGGAAAAGCAGTTACTGTGCAGTACACACTAGAAGACAGGCATGACTTTACATGATGATGATACTGGAGATAATGAACTAGTTGTATATTATAGCGGGTGATGTCTTTCTGTGAAAGAGACCTCTTTCAGATCATTAGATCACTGCTCATACAGGGGTGGGGAGTAGATCTTGGGACCTTTCTGTTTTTAATATATTCTACGCTTCACAACTTTATTAGTATGCCTGTGAATGTGGATGATGGATATGTTTGCTTGTGAAAAGTTTGTATTTTATAAAGTGAGATTACTAACATTGGTTTTAGCTTTATCTCCGTAAGATGTTGTTACTGCTTGTAGGCATGTGTGTGGTCACTCTGGGTGGACTCCATAGGCCAACAGCTGTGTTACCACTCTCATTAAGGTGTGAGTCACCTCTTGCATGGCACCTATAGAAATATTTATCTCTGCATCACCACGTGTATCTTATAGCAACTGCTAAGCCAACATCTTCCTATTGAGCACTTTAAAGTCTTCAAAATAATTAGATTTACAATTTAAATGTCTCTAAATTATAGGAGATCCATTGGCAATTGCGTGTCAGAACAGTCTTCATATTCATAAGGAAAATAAATAAAAGAATTGAAACTTGATGTCTATAGATAGTTGCCCTAAGATCATTCTACTGGGGATTTATTACATTAATTTTTCTCCATTAGGCACAAACTCAAAGTATTCATGGGCCACACCAAAAGGGTATTTAACTCCTGTGTGGTTAAAATAACATTGAGCCCTGTATATTGAAATAAAGGAGACACTCCATCCAATAACTTCATTTCATTGTTCTTGTATTCATTGGGAAGGTTAATTGACAGTCTTCTGTGTGATCGCCCGGCCCTGTCACGGGAACTTGCAGGTGACACTGCACAACAGACCTGATAATCCTGTCTGCAGGCAGTATGTACTGCTGAGCAAGACAAATAAATAGAGTTTCTTTTTGAGAGATCTACCACATTTCAATAGAAGGACAGAACCATCCTGCCATCCTCCAACTGCAAATTATTATTAACAGACATCCCTAGGACAGATTTCATAATCACTGTGCTTATATGGTACAAACGGTTAGGGGAAGCTTCTTTGGCTTCCAAAAGATGACTGAAAGGATCACAAAAATAGTACTGAAATTTTAAGCCAAGAATTATAAAAGTAGGATGGCATTTAATGTAAAGTCTCCAACAGAAAGCAGGTCTTTGGTTTCCCAAAGTGGATTGGTTACGTGGTGAACTACACTTCTGAGAACGTGAGAGACACTCTCTGATCTCATCCAGTATAATATTTTGAGACTTATGTAGTGAATTGAATAATAGAGGGTAAGTAAGGTTGCATTGTTACATTTTCGTGTACACAAAACAAAGAGGAGAAAACAATGAGGAGAAAACACCACATTTGAATGTTAGCATTTTTAATTGAGTTTAATATACAGGGTAAATTCCCATTACTATTGCAAGACTTTAACCCAAAAAGGTGAAATATTAAAGAATGAAGGCTTCCCTGAGGACTTTTACTTTATTTTTTGCCCCCTCTATTTGGTTTGGCCTATTAGATAATGGGGAAGAGAAGCATTCATGGCAGACCCAGGAGTGTCTCCCTTGGAGTGAGCCTGATCCCTTTGGCCTAAATGCACTCTCTGGATAAACAGCTACACATTGTAGGAATATGTATTCCCGCCCTGCCAGGTGGGGCTCAAACGAAAGCATTACGTTGAGCTTTTCTTGTGAACAGAGCCACCTGCTTTCTCACTTCTACAGAAGCCAGTCCTGAGTCATATGAATGGAATCTCCTCTTTCCAGTAGAAAGACTCCTGCTTTGCCGTCATGGACGCTGGAAGGTCTGAGTGATATAGTGAGGTGCAATAAATCTGAGCTTTAAAAAGAAGGACTTGGTAGAATCTTGCATTTTGAGCCTCTAGTGAGCACACAGTCTAGTAGGGCTCACAGATGCAGGCATAATTCACTTGAACATGGCATGACAGGGCGACACAGTGGAAATTCATGTAAAGGTGTTCACCATTGTTAGTCATTAGGAAAATGCAAATTACAACCTCAATACCTGTGCGGTATCTTTGTACCTATTAGAATGTCTAAAATGAAAGACTGCCTATATTAAGTACTGTCAAGTATGTGGAAGGGTTTGTGCTCTCATGTATTAATGGTGGATATATAAAGTGGCACAATCATTTTATAAAACTATCCATTTCTGAAATCCAGTCTGCTGTTAAATATTTAATCAGAAGCAATGAATGAAAACATATGTCCATGCAAAAACTTATTCATAAATTGCTCACATAGCTTTTTTTTGTATTATCTTAAAGTCAGGACTGACCAAAATGTCAAATGAAAGGATAAAAAAGTGGTACTTATTTGTTGGATATATCCATATAATGGATTAGCACTCCACAAGAGACATGGTCAAGTATTCACATATGCAACAATGTGAAGAAGTCTCAAAGTAGTTATGCTGAGTTAAAAGAGTCAGACAAAAAAATGTAAGAGACTCTTAGGAACTGAGTTTGCCATCAGTGGGAACAGAAAAAAGAGGAAATGTTTTCATTACCTCAGAGACAGAATTGAGGAGGTTTGATAATGGAATGCTGGCAAGAGAGGGCTGTAGACACTGAGGTCTGCTCTGGTTTAAGTTTCTCCATGTGAATCATCACCTATTTGGAGACAATGATTACAAGAAATCTGGTGCATAAGCATAGAAGAAATGATAAGCATGGTGTTTAATGCTGAGCTTTGGATTACTCCATAACCCCTAGGAAGGAACATCCATTGTGTTTTTTTTTTTAAATTAAGTTTTACATTTCACTATTTGTCTTGGTTACTTTTCTCTCATTGCTGAGGCAAAATACCCAATGCCCAAAATTAAGGAAGGAAAGGTTTATTTAACTCACAGTTTGTGGAGGTTTCAGTCTATACTCAGCTGGCTCCAAGGCAGGATGGCACATGGCAGAGGGCAACAGTTCAGGGTGGCAGAAAACAGCAAAACAATAAGAACAAAAAAGGGAGGAGCAGTAGAGAGAGCAAGCCTCCTTCCCTCCCTTACATTGTATGCAGGCTGCCTGCCCCAGGGCGGGTGCAGCACTCACACCCATAATCCCAGCATTGGACCACGAGTCAATCAAAAACACTAGAAGCCCTCCCCATGACTGCATTGAGGCTTTGGGGGGACATCCAGACACAAACCATAACAGTATTTAAGGAAAGAAACTTTCATTTTGGCTTTTTAATTAATACAAGAAGAGATTTCTAATAAAATGTAGTTATAGAGAAAACACAGAAGAAAGCAACAACAAAAATTGTGATTCCTAAAGCCATTGTCATGGATAAAAGGGAGCAAACAGTTGAAGATAAGGAGAGAGGGGAAGGAATATGCCTGGATACCTCTAGCCAAAAGTACAGTGCACTTATGTAGGGAGGAGCAGACTTTGTGGATATCCTGCCTATTTAATCCTCTTGTCACTGTACTGTTGGACTCCCTAGTAACTTGACTTAAATTCTGTAAGTAAATCTCAGATGCTGATGTTAATTGTGGTCAAGGGTGCAGGTCCTAGAGGTTATATTCTTATCTCTGCCCTTAACAGACACATAACTTTCCAAGTACCTGGGACTTCAGTTCTTCCTTCTTTTGGTTATTGTACTGATAAAGATGAAAAGAAATGGGTACAGGAAGGACTCAGCAGTGCTTCTAACACATAGTAAGGGGATCAATAATATAATAATTCTTCAGTTTCTCCCCCTTTATCTTCTTTTTCCTTCTCTTCCTCATTCTTATTATTATGCCTCTACTATATTGCCATGAAGCAATTGGAAAAAAAGCTTTATTCTTCTGGTCAGTCATTAGAAAACAAGGACACATCTAACTGGCTTTTATCAGAAGTAATCATAAGTCACCCTTATTCATTTGACCCATTCTCCTAAATTATGTGTTTACCTGTATTATTTCATTTATCATTCCTTCACATGTTATGAAAAAGACTATGACTTAGTAGTAAAGACCATGGCTTAGTGATAAAGCAAAAGAAAGAGAGATATTTGGTGACTTCGGTCTTTCCTGTGCTCTAGTTTGTTTAGTTTAAAGCCAGTCATTTAAATTTCTTGTACCTTAGTATCTTCAACTAAACAGAAATGAGTAATAACAGCCATACAGAGCTATTAGAAATGTCTAAGTAGAAAGCATTCAAGTTCTAACACAAAGTAAAGAACTTTACAGAAAGCTAAGTGGGTTGCATAAGTTAGTGTATTTCTGTAGATGTGACACTAAGGCACTAAAAACTCAAAACCACATTGAAATCTGTGGAGACAGCTAGGTTTAAAAAATAGTCACTTGACTTTCCTATAAAGTATGCTTCTATTACACTTTATTCCATCTAATAGAAAATAGACCCTACTAGTCCAAATCCCTGGTCAGCTTAACTTCACCAGTGATGAATACTTTTCATTTCAGCAGGATTTTTCTTGTTATGTTTCAGGCTTTGGGGATTTGACCCTCCACGATCAGGTCCATCTTCTGGAATGTGCCTGGCTAGAGATCCTGATGATTGGTCTGGTCTGGCGCTCCATGGAGCACCCTGGGAAGCTCCTGTTTGCTCCTAACTTGATCTTGGACAGGTGAGTGTCCTAGCCTTGGCTTGGGAGAGGGACATCCTTTCTAATCACTGTTTATCCTCAGGCTATTTTATTCTGTACTCCGTGAAGCTTCAAAAAGCTGTATTTAGTGCAATTGCTTTCTGAATGGGTGAATTCAGGTGATACAGTCTGGTCAATTTCACCAAAAACTAAGCTTCACTGTCTGTTAAACATCTTTTCAGAGGAACTTTATTTTTTCTAATACACACATGAAACTATAAATTGTAATTTTCAAACACTTCCTTCATCTTCTGTTGTATAAAAATTGACAACCTCACTTTAATTAAAACTTATTTTTTGGTGCATGTATGTCCAAATCACAATAGACATTTTATTTCTGTCTCCAGTTTTCCAGCAAAATGAAAAAATTGGTCACAGAGTTTTGAAGGCCACTTCCAATCCCATGAGTTCATTTGTGCTTGCAGATATGTTATCTGTGGGACTTTCTTTAATGGAGAAGGAGGGTTGCCTTGAAATATAGGTGCCATTGTTTTCCTTTCACAGCCATTGCTTAGTGGAATTGGATGTAGACATTTTACAGCATTCATCAGTGATGGAGTTGTTACCAGTACCAGCTGCTGTGCTGAGCACTTTGCAATCATTTTCTCATTTAATTGTCACAGCACTGCCAAGATGCAGGGTCTTTATCACCCACATTTTAGGCAGGAGGAAGCCAACTGTCAGGGACATCCCACCACTTGCAAAAGGCAGAAACCTAGCTGATGGTGAGGCTAGGATTTGAATTCAAGGTCTGTCTGCCTCTGGTACACTCTATTGCCTCTCATCCTGGGCACTCCTTCTGTCTTTCCTGTTTTCTGATGCTGCTTGCCAGTTGCTGTGGTAGTTTTCTGTTCCCAGGTGTAGCTCTTCTTGCTGGGTACATAATGATTTCATGGGAAAGAACCATCTTTGTATTGTTTCCTGCGAACTTATCCTCTCTGCCTAGCAATCTGAAGCTGTCAGGTTGCCTGCCCACAGCATCCTGGTACAGTGTTCGGCTTTGGAGAGCTACGTTTCTGCCTCAGGCCCACCCACTAGGTATTCCAGGCAACTGCCAAGCCCCCTAGAGCACGGTTGCAGCCAAGTCTGTTTAAGTGCAAAAGAACTGTGCAAGGTGTTGCTTGTTCATTTGTCGTGTTGTGTTAATTTAGCTTTTGAAAAACATGGATGACACTACTCCAGAAGCAGATTTTATTGTCCAGGGAATATATTCCAGTGACACAATTTCACAAACTTATGGAGAAGGGCCACCAGTCTTGTTCCTTAGATCTATGCTCATGTTCTCCTCTGAAAGTCTTTGGACGACATCCCTATGTCCTTGGTGTGCCTTCACTTGCCTTCTATTCTTTTTCTTAGTTTTCTTGTCTTATCTTTTTTCCCTTTGTACTTCATGTCTCCTGTTTTCTTTTGCTTCCTCGTTTCCTTCTTTCTTTTCATCTTTATCCTTTCTTTAAGAACAATTCTTGCCTGCCAGTGGCGTGGTTCTGTGGCCAGGTTGCACAAAATTTACAGATGAAATTCTTAGAGCATGAATTCTGGATATGGATTGGAGTTTATCTTCAGTGTTGACTTTCAGACATTTGCTTTTGCCCTTGTCCGTATCCATTTTCTTAGGTTCACCGTTGGCAACAACAGTCATAAAATCATTGAGTTTGTAATATGAAAGGCCTTTGCCATTACCCCACCCAATGAACTCATATTGCCAAAGAGGTGAGAGTGCCCAGGGTATTATCAGCCACTTGCTTCCCTTTTCTTTAGCATTACAGTTAATTCCTTCACATCTCTCACAGAAATATGAGTAACTAAAAGTTATTATCTTAATTCCTGTTTTCTAAAAGTCCAGGTTAGGAGTTTCTACTGATTTTAATTTTTTTTCAACCTCTGCCCTGGTGATATGCACAGCCAGCCTTCTGTGTAGGGACTGTCCCGCACATTCTAGGATGTTTAGCAGTACCTCTGGACTGTATTTGTCAGGTGTTGTTCCTTCTGCAAGTTATGTCAGATAAGTGTCTCCAGTCATTTTTATCTCCTTCCTGGTGGCAGTGGGTGGACAGTGGCCAAGTTATTGCAAACCCAGTGAGAGCCACTTCTCTAGATGTTCCCGCTTCAGTGTCCTACACGTTCTTACGGCTCATCAACCTCTAGACTCAATAAGTCTGTTTTTTTTTATTTCCTTTCTATCTTAATGATATCAATATTTGCCTAGACCTTGGAGCTAAAAATGAATGGTGCTTAAGTGAACAATGGATTCACCTGCTCCCTCACCAGACTTTCCAGTTAACTGCCAAGTTTTTCTCTGAACTATTTCTGAATCCAGACCCTCCCCTTGTCTCCATTCCGTAGCCCTAGGCCCTGGTTGTCTCATCCCTGATTACTTACCTCCGTGACCCTGTATTTTCCTTAGTGCCCACCCACCTTTCTTTCCACTATAGTGACACAAGGGATTATTTCCCAAGGCACAGCAGTAATCTTGATGCTTTTGATTCTGCTTCCACTGGCTTTGTCGGTTCTTTTGAAAGTACAGAGTAGACTTCTTATCCTGACAGTTATGGCTATCACAGGCGCCACAAATGCAAGTATCTGCAGAGCCAGTCAGATGATGTAAATGAAGAAGACTAGTAGATGAGTGTCCAGAAGGGAGTGCTGGGGATTAGGTGACCTTTTCCAGGCTAATGACACCTGGCAGCTCAATTTGACCCAGAGTTGTTTTTTATTTTAAAGAGAAAAAAATAACAAAATAACAATGAAGACAAAAACAAAACAGTACACAAACAATAAAAATCATACAGGATTTCAAAACGAGGTGACAGGAATTAACAATGGCTGTTATATTGCATATTGTTATCTTCAGCGAAGTTGCTCAGATTACCAGATGTGAGAATGCAAGATTGATCAAACAATTAAAGACAATAACAAGTAATAAAAAAATTAGAAATGATACAGGACTTCATTAAACAAGATGGTAGGAATTCAACCATGGTGGTTATATTGCATATTGTTGTCTTCAAATTAGTTGTTCTGATGGCCAGACATAAGCATGCAAAATTGGTCAAGAGAAAAAATTTAAGCATTAACTATTCCTTTCAATAAACCAATAGACATCAGCAATACACTTATCTCAGCTACCCTTGTATATACATATATATTTTTTCTTTTTTTAATTTTAAAGAGAAAATAACAGAAACAAAATAACAAAAATGAAGGCATAAACAAAACAACATAAAAACAATAAAAATGATACAAGATTTGAAAACAAGGTGATAGGAAATTAACAATGGTTGTTATATTACATATCGTTATCTTCATAGTGATTACTCAGATAACCAGATATAGGCATGTAAGATTGATCAAATGATTACACATTAACTGTTCCTTTCAACAAACCAATAGAAATTAGTAGTACAATTATCTTAGCTATCTTGTGTATATATACATATTTTTCCCTTCATTCTTTCTTTTTTTTCTCTTTTCCCTCATCCCAGTTGTGCCCTCCTATTTGAGCAGTTTCTTTCCCTTTCACAATATCTATTGTACTTTTCAGGTGTTATTTACTTTTTCAGGTTCGTATACTGGGGAATTTTGAATGCAACTTCGTATTATAAAGCTTTTCTTCCACTTGTTCTGATTGGCCGCCACCTTTAGAGTTTCTTGTTAGAAACTTACCATTCTTTAAGGCTCATTTCTGGTTTGACTTTTCCATAAATCTTTCTTTCAATCTGTCTTCTTCTCAGGTAGGAAGTAGCCTTTGCTTTGTCTAATTTTTCACTCTGTTCAATTTGTACTTCCTTGAAATAGTAGATTCATTCTGCTCAGTGGTAGCTATGCTTTAGGACTTACCCTTCCCATCAGCTCATAAACATCCCCTGGTCCGGAGCCAAATCTTGTTTATCCCCTGCACTGTCCTGCAGATTCTTCCATGATGCCCCACAAATGCTTGTTCATTGGGTATTGGTCAAGATCACTTTGGCAGCTTGTGGTAGAATCAGGGGCAAACCCACATCTTCTTAAGATCATTTCAGCTATTGTCATCAAACTCACTTACTTTGTGTTCATTGCTACTTATAAATTCTTGATTTATTCTTGTGTAGATTAAGATGAAATTAACATCCATCTGTTTTTATAATGTCCATTATGATTTAGTAAATGCATTTGGCCTGTACTTGGACATCTGCTTATACTGCCCAGAACTGTTACCCACCTATTAAATTCCAAATCGTGTAAGTAAAGAAACTTATTTTTCCCATATGAAGTAAAATCCTTAAGATTTTACTACATTCAAGAATATTTAGCTACATGTTTTTTTATGATTAAAGTATGTAAGTAAATATAAATATGCATTTAAATATAAATAATATGAAATATGCAGAATATTAAAATATCTGGACTCTTCTAATCATTAGTATGGACCTATAGATTATTAAATTTCAATTTTATTTAATTACCACTTTAGTGCTTGAGGATAAATGTTTTTGATAACATTGATAGATACATAACAGTAAGAAGTATCGTGACCAGCAAGCCATTTGAAATTTTACACATATGGAAGATGGCTTTTCATTGGCAGCTGAGAACAGAGCTTATGGTTCCTCTCTTCAGGCTTCCAGATGATAAACTGCTCTGAGTAATGCATTTCCTTATGATAAAAGTTAGCTCTCTGCTTAGCATAAGTCCCTTTGATCTTCCCATTGCTCCTTTCCCATCACATTGTATGAAGTAAACACTTTTAGTAACAATATATAGATAGGTACACATAAGTTCCAAAACTGGATGATTGACTGAGAGCTGGGGGAAGGTGAAGGGCCTCAGCCACTCTCTGGGGTTGTTGTCATTTGCATAGGAAAGGGAAAAGAGAAAGCCCAAAGTCCAAAGTAGCTCTGTTCCCCATGGATTACCAATGCCTCTAATAGGAGACAGAATCTTGCTCTGCCATCCCATGTGACAATGAACCATTTTTCAAATCTTCTTTGCAAATCCAGGCACCT